AAAAAAAAAAAAAAAAAAACAAGAGATAGACGAGTAATTTTCATTTTAGTTTTATTTTATTTTATATTATTTTTACCATCAAATATATCACAAGTAAATTCTTTCTTTCTTTTTTTGTATGCTTTTCTTTTTAATTTAATTTTATTTTTATTTATTTGAGAACACAAAAAAAAAAAATCAAATATTCACTTTTCACTGTAAAAAATTGAGTGAAATTGGAACGAGAAAGGGCAAGATTGGCCCACCCAGTGGCGGTATGATTGATTATAAATCGAATCGGGTCATTATAATTGATTCGGGGCCCCATCCCGAATTTGAGACTTTTATTTTAAGTTTGTAGTACTTTTTATTTTTGGTGGTGATTGCTTTGCCTGGATGGCATGGTGATGGAGGGGAATAGATGTAGATCTCTTGGCACTGTGCATTGACGCCTGTGCTCCCTATAAATTTGTTGTCTCGGTGCATTTTTTATACGCATTAATTATTAATAATTAAAACTCGCCGCCATAATCTTTTTTTATTATTATTTATTTTATCAAATGAAAATAAAATAAAAATAAGAGTGTGGTTTGGTTGTATCACATGATCCGGAGATCCAGCGTTTAGGGGTGGGCTGGCACGATTGTGTTTTGGCATAGGGTGGGCTGCCACGATTGTATTTTGTGGTGCCGTTGGCATCAAGGCTCACCGACTACTATACATAGAATCCAAGCAACCATATGAATTGTTATATTGATTTTATATACAATATATCTATATAGAGTAGGGATCATATGAGAAATAAGAGAATGAAAGAAATGAGAATAAATTTGAATCATGAATTCATAAAATTAATGGTCATGATCAAGTCAAACTTTAATGATATTAGTCAATCAGATTGTGGCAATCTAGTAATTAAATGGTCATATTGTGGTTAAATATATGCACTTGACCAGTCATTAAGGTATATTAATCATTACAAATTTTCCATCTCTCACACACTAATACACATCACACACACAAATGACATACACAGATGACAGAAGGAAAATCACCCGATACACCACTTCACATATGGTCGTCTGACTTCCGACAACCACCATCAACACACTGGCGACAACCACCCCAGTCCCGCCGCCAACCACCACCAGATCTGCCACCAAACACTAACAGCCCAGTCACCGACCACCACCAGTCTGGCCATCGACTTTCAACCACCGCCATCAACATACCGTCTGGTTCTGTCACACCCGCAGCAACCACTAGTAGCCTCGCCACCAACCTCCATCACCTCCGCCACCAACCACCACCAGCCACCACCAGCCCCGCGAACAACCACCTAGCCCCGCCACCAACTCGAAACACTACCAGCCCCGCCATCGATGCCAACCACCATCAACCGTACCACAGTCGCAAACAGACCCGTAGCCACACAACCATATCGCCGCCGCACAGCCACCATCCGCAACTATCCACCACCGACATCTAGCCGCTCCAGCCAACCCCAGCGTCATCGTCAATATTCGCGCGGATGCCGTCCGCCCCGTCCATCTCTTCTTTGTGTGTCGGCGGTCGATTTCGGATGTCCAAGGCTGACATGATCTATCTTCGGAATCGAGCACCTTTGGCAAATTAACAATCGACCCGACGGCGGCGTGTTGATATCCGAGTTAGCCGGGGATGAACCGGGGAGATGTTGCCAACCAAGACTCGGGCTCAGGAATCGGTCTGGAACAGAAGTGCCGAGCTGAACCGAGAAATTAAGTGTCCAGGATCTCTATGGAAACATTTTCCGAGGTCGGCACCCCGACTCAGTGAATGCTCGAGCCGACCTGGACGGGTGCCGGGCTGAAAGAGGGATCATGGGTGTCCAATCAGCGCATTAAAGAAAAGTGCCGACCTGAAGGCCCAGGACGGCCATCACGAAGGCAAGGACGGGGCTCGGTAAACATTAAAGTATTCCCACTTGGAAGGTCATCATTGGACGATGGGACGGGCTGTCATAGCCTGTCACTCTACCAGCAAGTCTAGTCAAGAAAGTCTGCCAGCATTAAATGCCCCCATGCTTGCATTAAATGCCTGACAGGCAATGATTGAATAAATCTCAAATCGCATTAAATAAGTGTCAGGGAGACGCCGAACTGCTCTGCAAGATTACTGTGCGACAAGACCGGTGAACAGTACTTGAACAGTACCTCATTTAAGGATACTATAAATAGCAGCTCATTTCATTTATTTTGGGTTGTTGAATCTCAACTAACTCTGCAT